CCGTGGAGGGAGGTCGCTCTCCTCCAGGCAGGAGGAGCGATCAGGAGATAATCAGATTAGGCCAGCACCTGTGGTCTCGTCGTTGTGCGGATACTTTTGAGAGGATTGATCTCTCTCAAGATGTAGTGTGTACGATTCAGGATTCACGTGCTGCAACCACCAGCGCTGTTCACATCAAGTGGTCTGTTTTTCATCGCTGCTGTACAGAGAAAGTGTAGAGGCCATTTCATATTCACTAGGTGGTGTGCTGTCCTTTCCACAGCAGCTGATGGACAGAGATCTGGCGTTCAGCTCGAGTAAAACGTTCACTGCGGCCATCTCTTCCTGTCACGAAATTTTCGAGACAGAACAGGTTTAATCATCCGCTGATGAAACGTTTTGTAAAAGGTGTACAGAGAAGGCGTAGAGGCCACTTCATGTCCACTGGACGACATGCTGTCCTTTTCTGCAGCAGTCGATGGACAGAAATCTGGCGTTCAGCACGATTATCATATGCTGCAGCCATGTTTTCTTCTTGTCTCAAAGTTGTCGGAGACAGAACAACCTTTAATCATCCTCTAACTGAGCATTTTGACTCAGATTGAAATAGCAGCTGTGGGCCCATTTGTGACATGAGAAAAAGCTCAGTGTCAATTATGGTTTTCTCTGAGCCCGTGAGACGAACCACCGCTGGGGGTGGATGTGTTTGCCCACAGCCCATGGCCCAAAATGCTTCTGTACGCGTTTTCCTCAACCTCCTCTGATTTTACGGTTCCTGAACTGAGTTCAGGAGGAGGGATTGACAGCTCTCCTAGTGGCCCCCGAACGCGTGAGCGCACCATGGTTCCCAGTCCTGCAACGCCTGCTGTAAGGGCGCCCGTGGAAACTGCCGTGGAGGGAGGACACTCTCCTCCAGGCAGGAGGAGCGACCAGGAGTTACCCAGAAATAAGCCAGCACCTGTGGTCTGGCCGCTGAGCGGATCCGCTTAGAGAGGATGGGTCTCCCACAGGATGTAGTGCGCGCAATTCAGGTTTCACGTGCTGCATCTACCACAGCGCTGTACACATCAAAGCGGACAGCTTTTCAGCGCTGGTGTACAGAGAAGGGTGTAGAGGCCACTTCATGTCCACTAGGTTGCATGCTGTCCTTTCTGCAACAGCTGATGGACAGGAAGTTGGCGTTCAGCACAATTAAAACGTACGCTACAGACATCTCTTCTTGCCACGAAGGGTTCGGAGACAGAACAGTTTTTAATCATCCGCTGATGAAGCGTTTTCTAAAAGGTATACAGAGACGCAGGCCTGTTTCATGCCCACTTGTTCCACAGTGGGATTTAACGCTGGTCCTGCAGGCCCTGATCAAAGCTCCATTTGAGCCTCTGGATCAGTTTTCACTTAAATTTGTGTCTCTTTAAACAGCCCTGCTGTTGGTTTTAACATCCGCTAAGAGAGCGAGTGATTTATCTGCCCTCTCTGTCGCTCCGTCATGTCTCAGAATTCAGGCTGACGTTAGCTCAGCTGATTTAAGACCAAACCCAGCTTTTATGCCTAAAAACATCAATCAACCTTTATTTATACAGGTAAATCCCATTGAGCCTCGAGGACTCATTTACAAGAGAGACCTGATTTCAACAAAGAAAGATGACAACAATGGACAACAGCAACAACAATAAGCAGTTATAAAAACTCATACTACAGTTTTTTTTTTTTTTAACAAATAGGATGGCTAAAAGGAAAAAGGTAACAAAACCAAAAAAACAGCTAGATTCCAAGACAAATGTATAAAACTAAAAACAGGAACATGTCAGCATTGGACCCTGCCAGGAGTCCAACAGATTCTTAAAGCCACTTAGAGAGGTCAAGGTCGAGAGCTTCAATTCTTTTTGTAAGATATTCCAGGAAACAGGAGCGGAGTAGGAGAAGGCCCTTTTGCCTAGTTCAGTCCTCACTGAGGGAACACTGCAGGTAATAATGTCCTGAGAGCGCACTCCGTAGCTGCACTCACGCAGAGACATGTAGGAGGAGATGTATGAAGGCAACAGACCAAGAAGTGATTTAAAGATGAAAATGTACCAGTGGGAGAGTCTGCGTGAAGTTAATGATGTCCAGTTAACCAATGAATACAGGGTACAGTGGTGGGTACGATAATCACAGCCAGTTATGAATCTTAGTGCACCATGATAGACAGCATCCAACATCTGCAGGGTTCTTGTAGGAGCGTTCATGTAAATAATATCACCAAAATCAATTGAGGGAAGGAAAGTCACAGATACAAGGCGTTTTCTAGCATTCAGGGTTAGACAGGATCTGTTTCTGAAAAAGAAACCCAGTTTAATTTTCAGTTTCTTTACCAAGTTTTCCACATGGAGCTTAAAAGAAAGATGTGAGTCGACCAAGATACCCAAATATTTATAGGAATCAACAAACTCAATGGGGACACCATTTGAGGATAAAATCGGAGGAAGAACTGCTGGGACCAACTTCCTATTTGAAAAAAGCATCCCTTTGGTTTTTTCGGCATTTAGGACAAGTTTGAGGTGAAACAAATCAGTCTGGATGTAGTTAAATGCAGATTTCAGAAGCTGAAAAGCCTTAGCAACAGTTTTAGCTCGACAATAAACAACTGTGTCATCAGCATAGAAATGTATGGATGCATTAGGGATGTTTTTACCTACATTATGTATGTAGATTGTAAAGAGGGTGGGTCCTAAGACTGAGCCTTGTGGTACACCATTGTTGACTGTTAAATAACTGGAGGAAGTACCATTATGTTGAACACATTGTCTCCGGTCTGAAAGATAGTTAGAGAACCAACCAATGGTGTGATCTGAGAAACCGATTTCTGAGAGTTTATGACACAAGATGTT